TGGATTCTGTTTCAGGACCATCATGGACTTTAAATTTTTAGCATATATAATATACTTAACATGGAGCAAAAAATAGTTTAATTAAAGAATAATCACCATCTACACAAAATGTAACAAATATGCTACCAAACCTCTAATGCCAAATAATGTTTTAAGCTGTATACATTGCCTGAGAAAATAAAAAAAGTTAACCACCAAATTAAGTTACTAATACTACCCATCATCCCAAATAATCAACCAATTAAACTGAACACTACAAATTCTATATGTATATATTTTTAGAAGAAAAAACCTCAAATGCACATGAGTAAAAATAAATTAAAAAGTGTCAGAAATTCCAAAGTTTATTTACAGTTATTAAAAGCTATTTCTATTACACTCCTTTTTATTTTGTTAATATTAATTAGCGTAAACTATTTCAAGTTCATATTTATTTTTCCATATAGGTTGTATGTTAAAACGTATAGAAAATTCCCAAAAGAAAAGAAAACATAAAAGATTTTTGTAAAATTATTAAAATTTACTAATACGCCCGGATTTTCTTCTAGTGGAACATAAAGATAAGGAGATCAATGCAAGCATGCGATGTCCTCCCGGAGAATAAGAGCAAGATTAAAACAAAATCTATATATATAATGGGAGAGTTTTCTCTCCATCTAGGGTGTCCACATCAACATCCATGTCATCATAATTTATTCTTTTGTGAGCTCCACATATTTCATTTATTAAAACAAAAAAAATTAAACTAAAACTAATTCACACATTAAATAAAAATAATAAGTAACAACAATTAATGAAATATTATGAAAAAACGAAAAAAATAAATATACAACTTAAAATATGAAAATTTTGAATAGAGATTGAATAAATATAAATTAGATCATTATATTTTAACATATAATAAGTAAATATTTTTAAATAGTTAGAAATACGAAAAAAGCAACTTATCATATATTTTAATGGTACAAAATTTATTTTTTAAGAGTTATAATTATTTAGTAGAATAAATAAAATAAGAGGAAAAAAATACCAAATTTAAAGGTTTTTACTTAAAATAGAAAGCAATTCATTTCTGAAAAATAGACATTTAAAATTTGAGTACCGATTAAAAAATAAAAATAATTTAGAACATATTATTATTTATAATTATAATATAATATAAGTAGTTAAATTAATATATTTTCTATATTATTAATTTTTTCTAAATTAAAAAGTGAATACCTAAAAAAGAAAAACTAAATACCTAAAAAAGAAAAACTAAATTTGAGTACCGATTAAAAAATAAAAATAATTTAGAACATATTATTATTTATAATTATAATATAATATAAGTAGTTAAATTAATATATTTTCTATATTATCAATTTTTTCTAAATTAAAAAGTGAATACCTAAAAATGAAAAAATAAATATTAATCAGTGTTTAGAAAATTAACATAGATTGAAAAAAATTAAGGTGATTTGCAATAAAACAAAAAAACTATCCTAAAAATCACAAATAAAAATAAAATAATCTTATCTAATAATAAAACTGTGTAATACTAATATTTGAGAATACTATTTGGAAATTAGAATAGTAATGGTAGATTGAAGAGTTTTTCATTAGAAATAAAAAGGATTTTAAAAAAATGTATTTTAAAATTAGAATAATTTTTATGAGTTCGTAAGTGTCACATTTTAGAAAATTCAACATTAATAATACTTTCTAGAATCATAATATACGTTAAATTATATATGTAGAAAGAGATTTTTGTATTTTTCATATGGTCAAGATAAAGTGCAAAATTTCACGTTGAAATCCTATGTTTATGAATAAGAATGAATCTATATATGAGATATGTTTTCTATAAAGCAATTTTAGATGCACCAAAACATGGTAAAAAAAAAACTTTATGACAAACATCTCCTCAGATTTCTGTTTTGATGTTCACTTTAATAAAAAGATCATAAAACTTATAAAAAAAAAATTGAGTATTGAATGATATGAAGGAGAAAATAGAAACGATCTAAGGAGAAAAGAGAGTAGATGTTGGGAGACGACGAGTGAATCATAGAAGATAACGAGAAAAATTGTAGTGAAAAATGTGAGAAACTTTTTACTACTTTGGAAAGATAATTCATATGGGTAAAGTAAAATCATTTAAAATTCAATTGATTATATTTATACTCAAAGTATAAAAGTTTAAAATTAAATCCCGTGCGTCGCACCATCTAGTGTAATGAATTGTGCAGAAAATACAACCAAACTCATATACAATGAAATTTATTGAATTAATACAAGAAGCTCAAGAGATAATATTGTTTCATCAAAAAAATTAATCCTTTATCTTATAAAGCACAAGTCACTACACCAATAAAATTTTGACATATCAGCAAAACCAATTTTAAGAAAAAAAGAATTATAAAACAGAAAAGGGATCGTGGAGAAGAGGGAAAAAAAAACATTATTTTCTCATAAAAGTTAATACAGTTCCTACAATAAATCCCTACAACATCTACAGCCCTGAAATATCTACCACTCTCCTCACGATCTTCTCCATGTTTATATGCACCCGTTTCTTTTTGCAATTGATCATCTTCTTTACGCTAATCTGATTGCATTTTCTAAAAACCTCACCTTCGGCTCGATTATTATCTTTCCGTCATGATATACACCATTCTTATTACCATGTGTTTTTTTTTCCACTTTCCATTTCAAATCAACATGAGTCATCACTCTACATTTTCATTCGAGATCAATTATTGGTGAAGACAAGAAAGAGAACAGAGAGATTGCCGACCATATTTCCTTTTAATTTGCTTCTATCTGTTTTAAACATATATTTTGTAGATTATTCTGACAGCTATTGAAGAAAGTGATAATTGAAACATCGGCGTACAATAACTCTGTAATAAAGGAATCTCAATGCCCAAGATCTCCAGCTTCAAGTACCTAAACATATTTACTAGGCCATTGAATCTCCAGAATGCCCATTAGATCCTGACGCTTAGGAGTAGTAACGTCTCGCCATGTACAACAAAAAAAACGAACATCCAAAGATCTAAATGGCATTCTGAAAAGTGTTGAGGTGATTTACAAGTGTGTAGGTTAATGGGGATTCTTGTGAAAGGATCATTAATATTTGGTATGAGATAATTTTTAGATATTTTGGATGATTCAAGTTATAAGGTTGATCAAGGTTGAGAAGCTGTTTATTACTGAAAATTATATGTTGAATAATTTTTTGGTATATAATTTAAATTTTCTTCTTTCAATTCATTTGCGTTCTCATTCTATTTCCTTACTCTCAACTTTTGACTATTGTTTAAGTTTTAACTAAACAGTAACCACAATAACGTTTTCAGAAGAAATTATTTCTATTTATGAAATTATTTTTGACCCGTAGGTAGTACATGCTTAATACTAGTATAATATAAATCAAAAAACAGGAAAAGAAAATTATTGTCATAGATCACTAAGAGCATCTCTGTTGGTTTGCTCATAGAAAATGAAGAGAAAAATAAGAGACTCACCATTAAGAAAATAGAAACTAATAAAAAGAGAGAAGAGAGAGTGACAAGAGACTCTCAAATGCGCTATCTATTAAAAAAAACAATTTGATAAGAAAATTATTTTTTATGGCTTATTTGAGAGGTCATAAGCTGGAATACAATTGCATATAAACGTAAGTTTTATAGACAAAATAAAGCACATTATGAACGCCATTTTAGAGGTAATGGCGGAGATGCATCCCTTTTAAAATATATTGCATCCATTTTTGCACTATATTCATATCGTAGACCACATTTAGGATGCTTTAAAACTGGACGGTACACCTCAACCTCAGTAAAAAACTTCATGTTAATTCCTTGCATGAAAAGACATTTTATATGCGATCGCTCGGTTCCGTCATCACCGAATTTAATGGATCCTGTACCGTTGAAGTTTAAATGTCTGACTCTTAAGTTTATTTTTCCGAGGTGGCAATTATATTGGAGAATTCTACTAGAACCGAGTTGGTTCTTAATTACAATCTCATTTCCCTAGCAAGCTTCATTAACCACAAAATAAATGGCACTAAATAACATGAAAAATATTACTCCCTCCGTTTCATAAAGAGTGTCGTTTTAAGGTTTTATTTTTGTTTCACAAAGAGTGTCGTTTTAGGTTTTCAATGCAAAATTTAATGATTTTTTATGTTTTATGACTATTAGTATTCTGCAGATTGTTTTACTATTGGGCAGATTATGTTTAGGTATATAGTTAATGATGTTTTTGTTTAGAAAAAACAAAAAATTTAATGTTTTCTTAATCTGTGTGCAAAACTCTAAAACGACACTCTTTGTGAAACAGAGGGAGTAGATGACTCATTTGTTCAGATCTAAAATAATTGTTGGAGTAACAAGCGCATCAACATGTATTATTTATAGTTTCTTTGTGTGGACGACTTTTTTCCTTTACTTAGCAAATAATGGTTTTAAAGTGTTAACTAAATTTAGAGGCAAACATGCATGAACAAATTAGAAATTTTATCAAAAGAGATTTTAGTGTCGAAATTTATGATTGACCAATAAGATTAAACCAAATGAACGAACCATCCTTTTATTATTAAAAGGGAAGTACAAATTGAAAAATGGTCTAATTTGGCCTCAATTTCAATTTCAATTTTGGATTTTGTACATGGTTAATCAAAATCGTCAAGGGTAGTTTGGTCAAAAAAATTTTGACTCTTCATTAATCGTATAGGATCCGCGTGTTTTCAAAATGGGTGGGTCTTGGATCACATAAGATCTAATCAATACACAATTAACTAATCGGGTTTGATCATCTACAAAAATGCTTTCTTGCAATCCTAACCATTTATCATAATTGGTATGTAATTAAAAGCATATTCGAGCAAAAAGATTCTCTATATCTCGCCTAATAAGTAAAAGATATTCATGTAATATTCATTCCAATATAATCGTAATTATAAAAGACTCCAAAATATCCTTATTTCTCCTAAAAGCGTGAATCATTCATTAGTTTACCAAATACGAATATATGTTATTTACCGTATCTTATATTTTTTGCTTTTTTCCAAGATTTTCGGAAATCTTGGATCCAAAAACCCTAACAACCTACTACACTATAAATAGAGAACGTCATTATCGTTTCTAACTTATCAAATAATTACTTATATTCGTAACAAACCTCTCATTGTTCCTTTTTGTTTTTCAAACAATGGCACAATCAACTGCTTTCCTTGACGATGTCAAGTCTGCTTGGAGAGGTTTGAGTGCAGGTGCATGTCCTTCGTACCTAGAAAACACTCACGACCAAATTTGGTGAAAATCTACTTATATTTTTAATAACCATCTCTGTTTATGGATGCCAGAAATTAAACTATCGATTCTATATTTTGAATGTATACAGGTTACCAAATGATGGTTTTGCTCTCACAATCTTTGAGAGCAAGTCTAAGCCGGATCTGCAAGTGGATGTAGCAGGACATTTTGTATCTCCAATTCCCTAAGAAGGACATTAAAAAAAATGAGAGATGGTCGAAGTAATATATTTTTCTTCCTTTAACTTTTAAGAAATATGCAATAGTACTAATTTTAATACCCTTTTGTAGTGCAGTCTGAGATGGTTAAGGTGAGTAGGTGACATGCACCATCTACATCTCACTCCCAATGATTTAGTTTTCTTCTTAACCGTGCAAAGGTAAGGACTTTGTTTCTTCACTTTCATATTGCAACATATTCATTTACTTCATTTACGAAATCACGCATGTTAGATTGTTTAGCAATATTTAATCTTATGCTTACATAAATCGATAAATGACCTTAACTAGCTAATAACTATATCTATAAAGCGCCTACAAGAAATCTGAAAACAAGTGTTTGTAATCAATTTGCAATTCATACTCATACAATTGAATCAGGTATATTTCACACAATATAGATTTCATATCAATTAACATCATTTCCAATTAAATAATTGATTCTATAGCCAAAATCGATAAAAATCTATAGCACCATGTATATCAGGCACATACATACAGAGAGATAGAATTACTGATTCGTTGAGTTACTAACCCGTTATCAGCAAGATTGATTAGTTTCGGGCGACACATCGTAATATCGTATCATGAACAATGATGACAACAAAAGAGTTGGAATCCGGTAGATTTTTGTAGAAATTTGTGGTTAATTGCAGAAGTTCTGCAGATCAGTGAAGAAAAAATAGGGTTTTTCAGATATGAATAAGCAAACAGACGAGGAAGATCGGCGAAGATTTGATTTTTGATGCTCGGATTTAAACAACATATGGGTCTCTTGCCGTCAAGAGACTGCTTTTTTCGATAGTAACTAAGAACAAAAGATGTCGTTTACAATTCTTTTTATAAAAAAAAAAAATTATTCGCCAATGATATTTACTTTATTTACACAAGGCCTTATTTTCCAATGTAATGTAAAATCAAGCCCGACGTTTAGTCTTAGATTAAATAATACTGTTTGCCCATTTAATATTTATACTTTTTTTAAAAAATTGAAAATCGAGTATATTTGAAATATTCTAAACAATCCCATATATTTAACTTGGTATTCCAAAAAAATAATTATTCTAAAGTACATAATTATACTTTACTTCATTCTTGAAATATATAAATAATGCTCAAAATTCTATCCATTAATTTCTTCGATTACATTATGTTTGTAAATAATATATATATATATATATATATAATTATTTATTATGTATATGTGTGTTTGTAAATTCGATAGACTACATAAAATACTGATTTATTCTATTATATTAATAAAAAAGATATTACGGGTCGGGTAATAATTCAGAGATAACGTGTTGAGTAACCGAACAAGTAGTAAAAAATTCAATACCTGATCCTTACCCACGGGCAATAAAAGTATAATAATTACTCGACTTTAAGGTCACTGGTACCCTTATTTTGAAACGGGCCGAATATAGATAACGAGTTTTATTGTCTGGCCTTAAATTACTATACCTACAAATCATCTTATTAAATCAATATAAATTAACACATTTACTTTGCTAATAGAACCACTAAAAATGTCTTATATTAGTTGACTACATTATAATTTCTGCTAACAAATAATTAATCAACCACACAAAAATTCCTATATTTATTTTGTTAAAAAAATTACTTAATACAATTTAAAAGATATAGTATAAAAACCCAAATAAAAACCTTCACCCGCGGCGTACCGCGGGTTGAATCCTAGTACTTATTACAATTGACCTCGAAACTAAAACTAAAACCATATCAAAAGTTTATTGGCAAAATATGAAATTATATTTTAAATGTGTAGTAAATTAAAAAATAAATAATTTGATAAACAAATTATGCGAAAGGCATGGATTAAAAATCAGCTTCACAAAACAAGCAAATATCAAAATTTTGAACAAGTGATCACACGATGAATTATTTTGGATTAAATTAAGCAAAGATGCAATTGAAGTTTTTGTCGGAAACATGGAGACTAACAAAAAATAAAATAATATAAACAGTTGTAAATCAATAGGTAAAAGAGATTAGGCAAAAAAAAAAACTATCTATGCAATGAAATTCCTAGAAATTAAGCCGTTATTTGTCAATAGAAATTCAGGCAAGCATTAAAGTCGAGTTTGATTTGTTTATCGAGTGTCTTAACTTCCAATTTCGTTGGTTAAGGACATTTAGCTCACCTATGGTCATTCTAGTAACACAACAACACTTTTGATGTACCGAAGAATTAAACCTAAGATAAAATATTGGTGATCAATATAGACTAAACAATAGGAATAACCATAGATGAATAACAAAAATAATCAATCCAAATGTAACAACCTAACAATCATTCAATTATGAAATCTCCCTTTTGAAATCCATGAACCCAATTGGAAAAGTACTCAACCATAGAAATAGAAGAAAACCAAAATAATGGAGAAGAAGACATGACAAATTTAAAACAGAATATCAAAGGGTTGAAAGAAGTCTCTAGAAAGAAAGAATTTCAAAAGTAACACCCTCGTCCAGAGCAACAATAGTTAGGGCTGGGCCAAATCCATATATTAGGGTCCGGATCCCTTTTTTTTTTTAATTAAAAATATAATTATAATAAAAAATTTGAGGCAAAAAAAAACAAACTAAAATTAAAATATTACCATAATATAAATATCACCTCTTTCGTTTATACGATAGGTAAAACTCTTTTCGTTTTTTTCGCAATCTTCGGATTCTAGACACTTCAAGTAAATCATTGACATTGATAATTATCACCTCTATTAGGGCTGCTTTCGTGTGGGAGGAGCCGAACTTTGAGCTCTCGGAAGAAGATAACGAGAACTCAAATAGCAAAGCTGGGAAGAGTTCTTGGATTGCACACGCCGAGCAATTACGAACGAAAGTAAGGTTTTGCTAACAACAAAATGTAGTGTATTTTGTTTGATAACCTTTTGCTGGTCTCTCTGGATATGCAGAACCAAAGATTAGGATAGAACATGAGGATAAGAAGATCAATGCAAGCATGCCACATCAACCAGAAGAAGAAGAGCAAGTTTTAGACAAAATGTGATAAAGTGTGCAAAAGATACAACTAGACCCATAGATAAATATGTTTCATCAAAAAAATACTAAACTATATATATATATATATATATATATAAGCATAGTCATAGAAAACAAAGAACATCACTCAACGAAAACTAAAAAAAAAATAAGACACTCACCATTAAGAATATGGAAACTAAAAAAAGAGAGGAGTGATAGTGACAAGAGTCTCTCAAATAAGAGATTTTAAGATATTCGTATCACACTTGTGCTAACATAATTCGTTCAATTTTTTTTCATGATTTATAATTTAAATAAAAATTATATTAAATTACTCATAAATATTAATAAAAATTTAAGTTAGTTTCTTACTAATAGAGATGCTCTAAATTAACAACTCCTCTAGCTTTTTAGAAAATTGAATCTTTTTGATTAAAGACCCAGAAATGCAAGCAATTTTCGTTAGGCTGAATTATTTAAATATGGTGACAATAAGACCATTTAAAGAGATTGGGTATGGATAACTCAAGAAATTATCTACATGATCTAAACATATAACGACCATTGATACTCTATAACAACCCGAGGACTAAACCTCCACACATAGAAACCATCGATTTGGAGATGAAATCACCTTTGTGTATCATGATTTTAAACTCTGAAGTTCTCTAGAACACATGGATAATTCTTTACATCATATATGGAACCAAATTCATATATGGATGCTTCACGTCCCCTACCATTCTCATGTGCTTGACAATCTTTGTAATATATCCGGTGACCGTGCAAGCCACTTGGTTAGCCAATGGTTATTTTGAGTCAAATTTTTATTATCGAGACTCATACCATCTTCTCCTGACATTTCCTTTTAATTCTCTACAGAAATCATGATATAATATTTTCTAATAGATAACAAGTAATTCTAACAAATAGATATAGAATCATCTCGTAAAAGACAAAACAAAAAAATAGTATATGAAAATGATGTTTTCTTATTACTTAAAACATCGAAAAATATGAATAGATATCAAATGAGCTATTTATTACAAAATAAAATTTTGATTATAGAATTAGTTGTTATGGCTTAATTAGAAGGTCATAAGCTAGAAAACAATTGCATTAAAAAAAAAAGACATTTTTAGGCAAAATAAAGCACATTAAGAACGCCATAAATGTACAGGCAATGCCGGATATTCATCCATTCGAAGATATAGTGCATCTAGTCTGGCAATATACACACGTAGTTGACCACATTGAATATACTTTGGAATTGTAGGATAGTTTAAAATTGGAAGGTATGCTTCAGCCTCGCTATAAAACTTCATGTTAATCCCTTGCCTGAAAAGACATTTCCAAATCGATCGCTTGGTTCCGTCATCCTTGAATTTAATGATTTTCGTACTGTTGGCGTTTAAATGTTGGACTCCTAAATTTTGGTTCCCTGAGCGGCAATGATATTGGAGAATTCTACTATAACCGAGGTTGTTCTTAATTACAATCTCATTTTCCTTGCAAGCTTCATTTACCACAAAATAAATGGCACTAACTAACATGAAAAAAATTAGACGACTCATTTGTACGAAACTAAAGTAATTGTTGGAGAAACAAGGGCATCAACATGTAGTATTTATAGTTTTATTGTATGCGGAAGACATTTTTTCTTTATTTAGCAAATAATGTTTTTTAAGTGTTAACTAAATTTAGATGCCAACATGAATGAACAAATTAAAATTTTGGTCAAAAGAGATTTTAGTGCCGAAATTTATGGTTGCCAATAAGATCCAACCCAAATGAAATAATCTAAATTATTATAATTGATCTCGAAACTCAAACAAAAAACATATCAAAAGGTTATTGGCAAAAAGTGGAATTATATCATAAATGTGTAGTAAATTTTGAAAAAGAAAAATGAAGAAAAAATTATGCGATAGGCATGGAATAAAAATCAGCTTCATAACCAATAAGCAAACATCAAGATTTTGAAGAACATTTAAGGAGAGCATATAGAGCGTAGGTGGAGGCAATTCTAGGAAGTATGTGGGCTTATACTACGACATAAATTCAAGGGAGCTATCGAAGAAACCCATTCTTCAATTGCCTTCATACTTTAAGAGAAGTTCAAGAGATTCATACAAAATGAGACTATCGTGGTTTCTAATGAGTTTGTGTACAATTGGATGTGTTTAGTTTTGTCGTTGTTGATTCTGTTTGTGTGGAGAAGACTGATTTATTCTCATATTTGGCTTATTGTGTTTTTTTTTTCTCCTCTTGATTGGTCAGATGGTTTTTATTTTAAGTGGATCAAATCCCAAGCCTTAAGAGCCCATTAACCCATCTTCTGTTGACTCTGGTTTCTAGATTTAGCTTACTGTGACACCCCTTGATGCGTGTGATTTTATCGCTTTAATCTTTTACCTCAAAAGACCACACGACTACTGCAAGTGCACAGTTAATCGGTTGTAGTATTTAAGGATCGAATCACACAGAGAGAGAAGTGGTTCGGACGAATCTATTAGAAAAAAGTAAAGCTAGGGCAAAACAATAGAGAGGGGTTGTTGGTTGTGTCACTGATATGTTGTGTTTTTATCGGTTTTGAGTCTTTGTTTTCTTTCTTACATCATATGTTTTATCGAGTCAAAGTGTGTTTTTAGAGTCTTTTAGTCGTTTATCGAGTCTCTACAGGTTTTAGGTTACTTCGGAGGAAAACGAGCTGTTTTGGGGTATAAACACACTTTTGAAGATGCAGTTTCGTTTAGAAATGTCAGACGTTTTTCCTCAGATGGAATACTTCCTACCGTTAGATCTTTCTGCATTTTTGACACAAGTTAGATGAAGATGTTATCTTGAGTTTACAAGTGGTTTGAAGGAAATCCAACGGTGCATTCAAGAGTTATACCTGAATTAGTGAAGACAGGTCATTCTGCCGAGCATTTGAAGCAGTTGCGGAGTTGGAGACCAGAAGATTCAGATCGATCGATCCACTTGTGGATCGATCGATCCCATCCTCTGACGGACGAGAAGCAGTTTCCAGTGACTCGGGATCGATCGATCCACCCACCGGATCGATCGATCCCTTCCCGAGACGTACTTTTGGCCCAGAATTGACCCGATTCACTCCAGATCCGACCCGGCTCGTTTCCTATTGTTTTAAAACCCTATGCTCGACTCTTTACACATTATCTTTGTTATTTTTGAGTTCTAGACTTGGTTCTTTGGTTTGTAAATAACTTTGGGCAAAGGAATCCATCCTCTTGACACTTGGAGAAGATTTCTAAACCCTATTCCTTTTCTATTTTATTGAATCATGTTTTCTTTCATATCTATTTGCCTTTTCTCTTTCTCTATGTGTGAGTAGTTCTCCAATTGGGTTTTAGGGTTCCAATTAGGAGATTCAATGAATTAATGGATTGATTGTGTTAGGAATTCTCATTCTCTAGGTTCTTTGATTCACATGTTCTTAATGCTAGAATAGGATTGATCACCCTGTTGTAGATTCTAGGTTTTTCTATGCATCAAAAGTGTTCGATAGAATGCCTGAAAAAATGTGGATTGAGCAATGTATTTCTAGCCAACGAAAGTTGACGTTAGGACGCATTGTGAACTTAATGAACTTGTTTGGTAATGCGAATTTGACTAGGAAATTGCATGCGAAAGTTTAGTAATCGAATAGTCAAATTTAGTGATTAATGTCTTGAAAGAGAATTGGTCTAAATGTGTTCATGTTCAAGAACGGTTCGTAACTATTGAATTCATTGTCTCATGTTTCCGTTGTTTATTGATCTCTGAAATACCCTAATGCCCAATGTCTTTAAATCTTGAAGTTAAATCGTTTAATTTATTTGCATTTTTATTTTACAAATCTGAAAACCAAACAAACTCTTCGCTTTAGCTAAGAACGAGTCTCGGAAATCTTTAGTGTACCATTGGTTCTTGTGGATCGACCCCGTATATACTACCTTGCGGTTAAGTGTATCGGGTAATTAGTCACGGTTGCAAAGTAAAGTAAATGAAAGCAATAAGAAAGCAAAGTAAAAAGCGAGTAAATAAAGCAAGTAATCAATGAGAAACAAACGTTGGGCATCAAGGGGATCGCAGGGGGTTCAATGATCGTTATCTAAGAAATACTAGAATTAGGTTTGTTTACTTCCAAGTCTCGGACATACGAAACACTAAGATTCCGCTAACCCTAGGTTATAGAATTAGTCGGCTAAAATCCTTATACTCTGTTACTCAACCTACGCAGGCAACGACGTATATATCAAAGCAATAAGATCAAGTTCGATTCTAGTTCATAAAGCCCTATAACTAAGTGGTGTGTGCTTGTTATAACACGATACACATTCATAAGCTAGGTTCGAGCAAATTAAGCAACCTTATGAGCCACTTAAACACTTGGGATCACGAGTTAGGACATGAATCTAACTACATGCATTAAGAGAAAAATTACTTAGAAAGAATACAGAGTAAACGATCAAACAAAACCCTAAGTATTGCCACCTAGACGATCGGTCATTGTTGGTGTCGGATCCCGCACCAGTAGTCCGGGACCAACCAAAGATTGCCACGTAGTCAAGACGAAGGCCCACAAGGGATAAGGCCCATTAGGTCTGTAAGTTAAGGGTGCGGTCGAGGTGGTGACACCACAAAGAAAGTTCGAAGTGATTGCACCTCGATACGAGTCCGGAGTCGAAGTCATAGTTAAGTCGGTTCAAGGTTATTTGGGCTGAGAGGCGAGGCCCATGAAGGTCGGAATCAATTCAAATTCAAACGTTGAGCATTAAATTTGGAGACCAAAAGGGACACATTGAAGAGAGAATAATTGTACTTAATTAGCCACTTAAATGTCATTTTTCTATGTATAAATACGAGGGCCAGTGGCCATGTAAAGGGGATCTTTTTTCTGGAGAAGAAATACTATAGCAATTCTTGTATCAATTCATAAGCTTTTTACATATTCACTTTGTCCCTCAAGAATAATCTTTCCTACTTAATAAAAATACTTGAGTGTGTGAATCCGACATCCACATTTTGGCGCCGTCTGTGGGGAAGAAGGATTCTTGAGTGGTCAGATTTTCTTTACAACATTTCTGAGATAAGCAGCAATGTCCGGAGGAGACACCGTTGAAACATCATTGGCTGAAACCCTCAAAGCCATGCAACAAACCATGTCGGAAATGTCCCTTACAGCGGATTGGAGGATCCAAAGAACTATCTCGCAGCTTTTCTGATCGCTGCTGGAAGAGTCGAATTGGATGAAGCTGATGAGGATGCAGGGTACTGCAAGCTCTTTTCGGAAAATTTATGTGGCCAAGCTTTAATGTGGTTCACCCAATTAGAGCCGGGTTCGATCAGCAATTTTGACGAATTATCGGCTGTGTTCTTAAAGCAATATTTCATCCTTATGGATAAAAACGTTTCGGACGCCGACCTTTGGAATCTATCACAAGGGCCGAATGAGTCACTTCGAATTTTCATCACCAAGTTCAAAAGGGTGCTGTCGAAGCTCCCAAGAATCTCGCAGCAGTTAGCTTTATCTGTCTTGCGAAAAGGATTGCGACATGATTCAAGGTTTAAAGAGGATTTAATACTTCATAAACCAGACACAATTCAAGATGCACTCTTCCGCGCAAACAACTGGATGGAAGTGGAAGATGAAAAAGAAAATTTTGCCAAAAGGAATAAACAAGAAAAACCGGCGGTCACTGTCCCTACCAAGAAGTTCGAGCCTAGGGAGAGCAAAGGACCAAGAAAATTTGGGTCGCAACCCTTCAACAGTATTGTCGGAAAGCAATTCCAAGGAAAAGGAAGATCAAACACTTGGGTCTGTGATGAAAGTTTATATTGCGACATTCATAAAGCAACCGGACACTTAACCAAGGATTGTAGTGTCCTTAAAAGGTACCTCGCGGAGCTTTGGGCCAGTGGAGATCTTTCCAAATTCAATATAAAAGATTTCGTGAAGGAATACCACGAAGCAAGGGATAACTCCAAAGATCAAAATTCCAAAAGACCAAGGTTATCCAATGAGGAGGAACCAAAGGAGTTCGAAGGGTAAGATCAATGTGATTCTAGGAGGTTCCAAACTTTGCTGAGATTCGATAAGTTCCATCAAAAAACATAGGCGAAATGTTTTACTCAAAGCAAGTTTGAGCGACGAAGTCGATTTTCAAGGTGCATCAATATCATTTACCGAAGAAGAAACGCGGCACCTCGAAAGACCTCATGATGATGCCCTAGTTATTACCCTGGACGTTGCTAACTTTGAAGTATCAAGGATTCTTATCGATATGGGCAGTTCAGTCGATTTAATCTTTTTAAGTACTTTAGAAAGAATGGGAATTAGTCGGGCGGACATAGTAGGACCTCCATCTCCGTTAGTTGCGTTCACAAGTGAGTCAGCCATGTCTCTCGGAACAATCAAGCTACCGGTTCTTGCCAAACAGGTGTCAAAGATCGTGGATTTTATTATTTTCGATAAGCCCGCAGCTTACAACATCATCCTCGGGACTCCCTGGATTTATCAAATGAAGGCAGTCCCCTCTACATATCATCAATGTATCAAATTTCCAGCACCAAGTGGAGTGGAAACAATTCGGGGAGATCAAGAAGCTTCGCGAACATGTTATCTAGCTAGCCACCGTTTGAAGATCCAATAGCAATTAACAAAGCCCGCAAAAGAGGGACTAAGACCAAAATTTCCTAGTGGGCAAAAAAAAGATGATGTAGTAATCGAAGTGGTGTTGGAAATAGACAAACCAGATCGGAAAGTCCGAATTGGAGCAACTTTGACTGGCCAAATAAAAGAAGCTTTGATCGAACTTTTGAGGAAAAACAAAACATCATTTGCATGGTCATTGTTGGTGTCGGATCCCGCACCAGTAGTCCGGGACCAACCAAAGATTGCCACGTAGTCAAGACGAAGGCCCACCAGGGATAAGGGTGCGGTCGAGGTGGTGACACCACAAAGAAAGTTCGAAGTGATCGCACCTCGATACGAGTCCGGAGTCGAAGTCATAGTTAAGTCGGTTCATGGTTATTTGGGCTGAGAGGCGAGGCCCATGAAGGTCGGAATCAATTCAAATTCAAACGCTGGGAAGAGTTCTTGGATTGCACACGCCGAACAATTACGAACAAAAGTAAGGTTTTACTAACAACAAAATGTAGTGTATTTTGTTTGATAACCTTTTGGTGGACTCTCCTGATATGCAGAACCAAAGATTAGGATAGACCATGAGGATAAGGAGATCAATGCGAGCATGCCACATCAACCAGAAGAAGAAGAGCAAGACTAAGACCAAATGTGATAAATTGTGCAAAAGATACAACCAGACTCATATACAGAGATAATTATTATTCATCAAAAGAATAGTAATATATGTATAAAAGCATAGTCGTAAAAAAACAAATAACATCATTCATAGAAGAGTAAACTAAGAGAAAAATTAGAGACTCGCCATTAAGAATATGGAAACTAATAGTCTCTTTTATCTTAGTCTCTTCTGTTTAAACATTAGCATAATTCAACTACTTTTATTTCTCTAGGACCAAATTTGTTATGTGACACCACTTCCTTATAATTTCGGGCCAGCAGAAACTGTAAAACCGGCTATCGAGGAGGTACGGAAAAATGTTTTTGAGTTTTTGGTTTTAAGAAACTTTTAAGAAATCCATATCACACTTTTCCTAACATAATTGGTTCAATATTTGTTTTTTGAATATAAAATTTAATTTAATAAATAACTATATTAAAATTACTTATTAAATATTAGTAAGAGATCTAAGTTAATTTCTTACCAATAGAGATGCTCTAAATGAACAACTCCTCCAACTATTCCAGCCTCTTAGAAAAGTAAAATTTTTGGTTCAAGACCCATAAATGCAAGCAATTTTTGTTAAGAGGAATGATTTAAATATATGGTGACAATAAAACCATTAAAAGAAATTGTGTTTGGATAACTCAAGAAATTATTCTTGTAAAAAAAAAACATTAGTATATGAAAATGATGTTTTGTTATTATTTAAAACAGAGAAACAATACACATAAATATCAAATGAACTATTTATTTAAAAACAATTTGATTATAGAATTTGTTCTTATGGCTTAATTAGGAGGTCATAGAAACGAATTGCGTAAAAACTTGAGTTATAGGCAAAATAAAGCACATTAAAGTAATAGTGGAAATGCATATCCATTAAAAATATATCCTATTTAGGCTGGCACAATATTTACGTAGTTGACCACATTGAGGATACTTTAAAATTGTAGGATAGTTTAAAATTGAAACATATGCTTCAATCTCATTTTTAAACCCCATGTTAATCCCGTGCATTAATAAAAATTTCCAGAATAATAGCTCGGTTCCGTTATCCTTTAATTTAATGATTTTTGTACCTTTGATTTTAAATGTTGGACTCTCAAATTTTGTTCCCTGTGCGAAAGCATATTGGAGAATTCTACTAGAACCGAGTTGGTTCTTAATTACAATCTCAAATTCCTTGAAAGCTTCATTTACCACAAAATAAATATCACTAAATCACTTGAAAAATATTAGGCGACTCATTTGTCCAGATCTAAAATAATTGTTAGAGTAAAAAGGACATCAACATGTAGTACTTATAGTTGTTTTGTGTGGAAGACATTTTTTCTTTATTTAGCAAATAAAAGCTTTTAAAGTGTTAACTAAATTTTGAAGCAAACATGCATGAACAATTAAGAAATTTGGTCAAAAGAGATTTTAGTTTCCATATTTATGGTTGACCAATAAGATCCAACCAAATGAAATAACCTAAGCTATTACAATTGACCTCGAATTTCAAACTTAAAAAATATCAATATTTTATTGGCAAAATGTAGAATTATAGCATATTACGATATAGTATAGTGTATACTTGTACATACATAGTTTTATACATGTAATCTTATTTAGTATATAAACAACCTTGTATACATATTTACATCTTAATGAGAAATAACAAACTTTACCTTCTCTCTCTAAATCTGATATGGTATCAGAGCTTTCTCTCTCCTTCCGCATCACATTTCTCATTCGATTTCTTCGATTTTGAGCTTCGATCTTCATGATCTGAGCTGATTTTTCTTCAATCCGACCATCGATCGTCTCGGATTGCTCTTTATTTCGTTGGATTTGAGCTACCTTTGCTCAATCTTCTTCGTTTTCTTGATCTCTGTTCTCGCGATTTCTTCTTTGTTGCTTCAATGGCGAATACTGTTGTTTCGTACGATAATCCGTACTATCTCACCAATAACGATCATTCTGGTTTGCTTTTAGTATCAGATCGTCTCACAGGTGCTGGCGATTTTGGATCGTGGCATCAATCTATGCTCATGGCTTTGAATGGCCGTAACAAGCTGTGTTTTGTTGATGGAAGCCTCCCGAAACCCGATGATGGACATAGAGATGCAGCGACATGGTCCATGGTTAACGATGTAGTACGATCTTGGCTCATAAACTCTGTTTCAAAGACTATTGGCCAAAGTGTTCTATACGTAAAGACTACACATGGTATTTGGTCAAAATTGTTGCAGAGATTTAAACAAAACAACGTTCCTAGACTGTATCGTGTTGAACAAAAGCTTGCTAATCTGCGTCAAGGATCATTAGACGTCAATACCTATTATACAAAATTGGTAACCATTTGGAAAGAAGTGAAGAGTGCACAAGATTTTCCCGTGTGTCAGTGTAATGGTTGTGATTTTGAACTGGAAAGAAAGTGGATGGACCTATTTGAAAGGAACTTTGTGATTAAGTTTCTCTTTGGACTGAATGACTCTTATGATCATGTGAAAGAATCGATTATCATGCTTGATCCATTACCTGATCTAGAGAAAACATTAAACATGGTGATTCAACATGAAGATCAGAAAGGTATTAAGCAGAATCCTCAATCAGGTGTTGTTTTTCAGATGAGTTCACAGGATGTTCAATCTTCTGATGGATTTTTTCAGCATGGTCAAATCTCTGATAATTACTCAAGTCAGAATGAAATTGTTGGAGCCGTCTCAGGAGGGTATAAACATAAGCAACGTCCGGTGTGTACCTATTGTGGTCTTCAGGGTCACATTGTTAACAAATGTTACAAGCTTCATGGCTATCCTCCTGGATACAAACCTCCTAATCAATCTTATGGTAGTCAGCAAAATCAGTTTGTTCCTACTCAAACTTATGGTGGACAACAATCTCAGTTTGTTCCTAGACAGTTTCAAACTCGTCCTAATGTTCACTTTCCTCAACAACAATTTGTTCCACAGCAGTATGGTCCACAGCCAAACATTCCTAATGCAAGAATGCAACAGAATAAAGGTCCAAGAGAGAATCTGGTTGGCAATGTAATCACTACTTCTCATGCAGTTCAAGATCATTTTCATCAGGTTTAAATGCTCTAGCTCAGCTTTCTTCAGAACGGATAGAACAACTGGTTTCTTAATTGAATACTAAGGCCACTTGTCAAATGCCGAGCATCTCTTAGCAGCATGGTGTCACTTATGCTTCTACTTCTGCATGTAACTACATTTGCTCAACTCTTGAGGAACCTTGCCTTAATTTTACTGCTTGGATCATAGATTCTGGTGCGACTACGCATGTTTGTTGCAACTTGAGTCTGTTTGCTGACATTAATAGCATCTCAGAAACTACTGTTAAATTACCTAACAGTACTAAGATTGCCATAACTCAATCTGGTACTGTAAAGTTGTCAGATAAGCTTCTTCTCAAAAATGTTCTTTTCATTCCTTCTTTTCACTTAAATCTCATCAGTGTAAGCTCTCTTCTTCAAGATTGTGCATATTCTGTTAATTTTTTCCCTTCTTTTTGCACAATTCAGGAGTTTACTCAGGGCTTGATGATTGGTAAAGGTCGTTTACAGAATAAACTCTATTTATTGGATTCTGAGTCACAGTCATCACAGTCCCAAGCTTCTTCTCTCATTTGCACTATCAATAATTCTGACTCCAGTTCTCTATGGCATTCAAGACTGGGTCATCCCTCTTTTTCAAAGATTCAAGCTCTTTCTGAAGATCTTTTTATTTCCAAAACAAAGCTTAAAGATTGGTCTCACTGTAAGACTTGTCATCTAGCAAAACAGAGGCGTCTTTCTTTTCCTTCTCTTAATAATGTTTCAAAGAACCCTTTTGATCTTATTCATTTGGATGTTTGGGGTCCTTTTTCTGTTGTCTCTACAGAGGGTTTTAGATACATTCTAACTCTTGTAGATGATTGTAGCCGTGTTACATGGGTTTATCTTTTAAAATCAAAGAGTGATGTCTTGACTGTTTTCCCTAGCTTTCTTAATCTTGTTGAAACTCAGTATTCACAAAAGGTCAAGGCCATTCGTTCAGATAATGCTCCAGAGCTTTCTTTTACTTCTCTTTTAGCTTCCAAAGGAATTTTCCATTATTTTTCATGTGTTGATACACCACAACAAAATTCTGTTGTTGAAAGAAAACATCAACACATTCTCAATGTGGCTCGAGCACTTCTTTTTCAATCAAATGTGCCTTTAGAGTATTGGAGTGACTGCATTAAAACTTCTGTATATCTTATAAACAGAACTCCATCTCCTTTGCTAAACAATAAAACTCCTTTTGAAATTTTGCTCAAAAAGAAACCACTTTATTCCAATCTTAAAGCTTTTGGATGTCTTTGTTATGTGTCTACTTATCCTAAGGATAGACACAAGTTTACACCAAGGTCTGAAGCTTCAGTTTTCCTTGGTTATCCCTCGGGTTATAAAGGATACAAAGTCTTAAACCTTGAAACACATTCTATTTCCATTTCTCGCAATGTTATTTTCCATGAAGATATCTTTCCTTTTCAATCTCTGGAGCTTTCATCAAACACTCTTGATCTTTTCTCTTCCACTATTCTTCCTCTTCCTATACCAGATACTTCTCCTATACACTCACCCATTCCTTTTCCCTCTAAAGTCTTATCTGATAACAGTAATTCATCAATAGATTCTGAGGTTGCTATTTCTGTTAATGGAAACAGACCTAAGAGGAACACTCGTGCTCCATCGTATCTGAATGATTACCACTGTAACTTGGTCAATCACATCTCAAATGACAGTGGTAATACCTCTCATCCTCTGCAATCTGTGTTGGATTATTCAAGACTGAATGATCATTATCAACAGTTCATATTGAATATTTCTTCTGAATCTTAGCCCAAGAATTTTCAAGAGGCTGTTAAATCAGAAAAATGGCATGCTCCTATGAATGAGGAACTTCAGACCTGTGTTAATACTGGCACTTTCTCAGTTGTTTCTCTACCAGAAGGAAAACAACCGATTGGTTGTAGATGGGTTTATCGAATAAAACACAATGCAGATGGAACAGTTGATCGTTATAGAGCTCGCTTAGTAGCTAAAGGCTACACTCAACAAGAAGGTGTTGATTACATAGACACTTTCTCACCAGTCGCAAAACTTGTCACAGTGAAATTGCTATTGGATTTGGCTGCTAAGCATGGTTGGTCTCTTACACAAATGGATGTAACCAATGCATTTTTTACATGGTGATCTAGAGGAAGAGATCTACATGGACTTGCCTCCTGGTTATACACCACCTCAAGGAGAAACTTTGCCACCTAATGTTGTATGGAAGCTACATAAGTCCTTATATGGTTTGAAGCAAGCATCAAGGCAATGGTACAAGAAATTTTCAGATGTTTTGCTGAGAGATGGTTTTCTATAGTCAGAATCAGAACACACTTTGTTTGTTAAATAAAATGATGGTATTTTCATTGCCCTACTGGTCTATGTTGATGACATTGTCATTGCCAGTAACAATGATGATGATGTTTGCCAATTGAAAGCCACTCTTGCTGCAGCTTTTAAATTGAAGGATCTTGGTCAGGTGAAATACTTTCTTGGACTTGAGATAGCCAGAAATAAAGAAGGAATCTCCCTTTGTCAGCGTAAATACACTTTGGATTTGTTGGAAAGTGTAGGTTTTCTTGGCTGTAAACCTGTTGCAACACCAATGGACTCCACTGTTCACTTACATGCAGAGAGTGGGGATATTTTACCAGATGCAACAGTTTACAGAGCTTTAATAGGAAAACTTCTATATCTTACAATCACCAGAGCAGACATTACTTATGTAGTTCATAAACTGAGTCAATTCTTAGCTCAGCCAAGAACTCACCATCTAGAAGCAGCTCATCGTGTGATAAGGTATTTGAAAGGAGATCCGGGTCGTGGATTGTTTTATTCTGCACATTCTGAGATTCGTTTACAAGCCTTTTCAGACGTAGACTGGGGTACATGTCAAGATACAAGACGATCTACGACGGGTTTCTGTGTTTTTCTTGGAGATTCATTGATTTCTTGGAAAGCAAGAAGCAATAGACTGCCTCAAGAAGTAGTGCAGAGTCATAATACAGAGCTTTGGCTGATACAACTTGTGAATTGCTGTGGTTGAGTAAACTCTTGAAGGATCTTCATGTTCACATCAGTGGTCCTGCAACTATATACTGTGATAGTACTGCCGCAATTCACATAGCCTCTAATTCAGTTTTTCACGAGCGCACAAAACATATTGAGATTGATTGCCACATAGTTCGTGATAAACTGAGAGCTGGTTTTCTGAATCTCATGCATGTTACCACCGATAATCAGCTAGCTGACTTGTTTACCAAAGCTTTACCTCCCAAGACATTCAAGCTTCTCATGTCAAGATATGCATTTTCAAGTCTCTTTCTTCTCGCATGAAGAATTCAGACAAAATGAGACTATTCGTGCAAATGATACAATCAAACTCAAAGAAATATTTTTTTTAAATACAAGAAGCTCATCGGATATATTAAAGTTAACAAAAATTTTGAATATTTATATTGATTCATATAATATATGGATAGAAAAAATCTAACTCACGGTAAAGGAATTACAACTTGATATATGTTGCAAAGATTTATTATACTTCAACTAGGGAGTTCAATGGCAACAAACCGCTCCCCATGATCTCTCTGAAATTAGCAGTTATATCATCCACCAAAGATATAAGTCCCACCTACTCAAAACTAAGAGGAGATGCCGCCTACATCAGTTTTTTGTCTATTTTTTCTATCCCTCTCTATCAAACAAAATAGCTGGCTTGTTAAAAAGCATGGAAAGGTATCCAGAAAGCACAAGGAAGTTGAATCTAGCGGAGGGGTCTTTGCTTTTGCGTGCGCGGAGCCCCAACGAGGAAGGTGTTAGTGGTTTATCATTGGGTCAACAATGCTAATCCCTCATATTCTTATTGATAGGGATCCCCATTCATTCCTAGATTCTCGTCAGAGACGTCATTCCTTGTGGCAACCACTTGAATATTACTTGGGTAAGAGTTTTCGCGTATGCCCCAACACTTTTAAAAAATTATGACTTGAATTTGATCATTTTATTAGTGTTTAAATGTTTATTTTTGAAAATTCTTTGATATCATTTTTTAAATTTTGTTTTTTGAAAAATAACCACTTTCATATATCAAACCTCGATCGAATTACAATATGATCCCCCAGGTATTTTAAATCATGCTTTGAGCGAGAAGTTATTGTGGGAAGAAACTCAGATGGATCCGATTAAATTGAGTGTTAATAGGAAAACACTGGCTCAATCGACGCAATCCCTTAGCTGTCGGATTGATGGTTCATGGAAATCTACGGATCCAACAATGGGACTACGGTGGTGGTGTTTACAAGAAAATGATCAAACAATACTTCTTGGTGAAAAGTGTTTTCGGAGGTATCCCTCCCCCTGCATTCAGAGATGGAAGCTTCAATTTGGGCTACGAAATATATCCTTTCAAGAAGGAAAGACTGTCAGGCATTTGAAACAGATGGTATAGAGTTAGTCTCGATGGCGCAGTCTCATGAAGAATGGCTAGCTTTCTCCAATCAACTCGATGAGTTTGGATTGCTCTGTGATTTCTTTCTCCTTTTTCGATCTCCTATATTTCTCGTTTATGTAATTCTAAGGCGGATTGTCTAACTTGATACTCTAGAGTATTACTATCTGAAGTCACGTTTGTAAACTCGTTTCCTCCAGATTGGGTAACAAATCATGGAGTTTAGCTTTTAATTAATATGTGGTTATTAAATTTAAAAAAAAAAAAAAAGAAAAAAAAAAACCTCTCTTATAAAGGAAAAAATGGTCAACTAATCTCTCTTGTAATCCTTAAGACTGGTTATTTAAGGAAATATAAGTTCCATTCTACATCTTTTATCATAGCATAAATAGTTAAAAACCGAATTCATGACTGCCGTTTTCTCTTTTCACAAAAAGCTTCTTCTTCCACTCCTTGATTCCAAGCCATAACTACTTCTTTTCCTTCTACCGACAACATTACTACGTTTTGACTCTTGTTCACGTCATTATGACGACTGTTACAAAATTATTGCCTCTAATTTTCATGTATGGGAGAGAACCAATTAAACTTTAAGCTCTCGGAAGAAGAGAAACGAGAATTGAAACATCAAAGATGGGAATAGTTATTGGATTGCACAGACTGAAAAACTACAAACAAAAGTACGACTTTATTAATAACAAACTCCAGTGTATTTTGTCTGTCCAACATTTCTTGGCTCTTTGGTTATGCAAAATCAAAGAGAAGGATCTATTACTAATAAAAGGAATTCATTGAGGCCTCTCAATGTGTCCACATCAGCTATTCTCTAAACACTCTATCTAATGGACACGTCAGCAGCTACCAAAAAAAAAATTAAACAGAAACTGCAGCCCAACAGAAGCACAAAACAACATTTCATATTAAAAAAGATAAGAGAAGCCCAACCTAATAAAGCCCATACGCTCAACACTTGACATGAAGACTTAATACTGTAATTTCTAAATTACCTGATATTATATTAACCCATCTAAAACCTAAATTCAGTAACAAAAAAAAAAGAAAGAAGAGAGACCCTTCATCTTCACCATCCTCTAAATCTGTATCGCTTCAGCTTCCTAACAAAACGAAAAAAACCATTGTTATCGATTCTCCACTTCCTATCTTCACTCTCCCATACATTCACACAAAATGAAATAAATGGCCACTACTACCTTCATTAACATCGATTCAAGTTTCACTATAAAACCACAGATCACCCATCACACAAAGAAACAAAAAAAAACTCCTAACAGTCACTACGACCAAAACATGGCACCAAATAAAGCTCAACAGTCTCCCCAGCCATTCACCTTTCAGATTTTTGATGATATTGATGGAGGTTTATGTGAGAAACTGAGAAAGAAGTCTTACTCCGACTAATTCATTATTGGGAAGCCGTGAATTTGAAGAAAGGCGACATATTGATGGGTCTTCAAGGAAATCTACAATGACCTTCCAAAACAAAATGGTAAACTACTTACCCTAACTTCCAAACAAAGTATATGCAATTCCTTTCTTTTCAAAATGGTTTAGGTAGTAATTCAATGGAATTATACTGCGCTGCTATAGCATCAAATCATCCCATGGTACGTAATTCCAAATAGATAAATTGGGGTGAAGGAGAAAGTAGTTCCGGCGATGCGGTGTTTCGATAGAGCCAAGATATATGTTAGATCCAGAGATGGAGGGAATGGTGTGGTGGCGTTTAGGAGAGAAAAGTTTGTTCGTTTTGGAGGACCTTCAGGTGGAGATGGAGGAAGAGGTGGGAATGGGTATGTAGAGGTTGATGGGTCTATGAATTCGTTATTGCCGTTTCGTAAGACTGTGCATTTCATGGCGGGACGTGTGGAAAATGGGAGAGGGAAGATGCAGAGTGGAGCTAAAGGAGATATTGTTGTCATGAAAGTGGCTCCTGGGTCGGTGGTGAGATAGGCTAGAGAGGTTGGGAGTGAGGTGGAGGGTGAGGAAGGGGAGGAGAAGGAGGTGCTTTTGGAGTTGCTGCATCCGGGACATAGGGCATTGTTGTTTCCTGGAGGGAGGGATGGACGCGGGAATGCTTCGTTTAAGTTTAAGTCGGGGATGAATAAAGTTCCTAGGATTGCTGAAAATGGTGAAGAAGGTCCTGAAATGTAAAGTGTGTATTTTGCTTCATTTTGAGTTGGTTTTAGTTTAGTGAGTTGGTTACAAGCTTTGGTTTGGGACCAACGTGTAAAGTTTGAGACTTAAAGTATTAGAGTTTCTGAAATGGATTCTGTTTCAGGACCATCATGGACTTTAAATTTTTAGCATATATAATATACTTAACATGGAGCAAAAAATAGTTTAATTAAAGAATAATCACCATCTACACAAAATGTAACAAATATGCTACCAAACCTCTAATGCCAAATAATGTTTTAAGCTGTATACATTGCCTGAGAAAATAAAAAAAGTTAACCACCAAATTAAGTTACTAATACTACCCATCATCCCAAATAATCAACCAATTAAACTGAACACTACAAATTCTATATGTATATATTTTTAGAAGAAAAAAACCTTAGATGCACATGAGTAAAAATAAATTAAAAAGTGTCAGAAATTCCAAAGTTTATTTACAGTTATTAAAAGCTATTTCTATTACACTCCTTTTTATTTTGTTAATATTAATTAGCGTAAACTATTTCAAGTTCATATTTATTTTTCCATATAGGTTGTATGTTAAAACGTATAGAAGTTTCCCAAAAAAAAAAGAAAACATAAAAAGATTTTTTTTAAATTATTAAAATTTACAAATATACCGGGCGTAGCCCGGATTTTCTTCTAGTGGAACATAAAGATAAGGAGATCAATGCAAGCAAGCGATGTCCTCCCGGAGAATAAGAGCAAGATTAAAACAAAATGTAATGAATTGTGCAGAAGATACAACCAAACTCATATACAATGAAATTTATTGAATTAATACAAGAAGCTCAAGAGATAATATTGTTTCATCCAAAAAATTAATATAATATAAATCAAAAAACAGGAAAAGAAAATTATTGTCATAGATCACTAAGAGCATCTCTGTTGGTTTGCTCATAGAAAATGAAGAGAAAAATAAGAGACTCACCGGCCATTAAGAAAATAGAAACTAATAAAAAGAGAGAAGAGAGAGTGACAAGAGACTCTCAAATGCGCTATCTATTAAAAAAAAAACAATTTAATAAGAAAATTAGTTTTTATGGCTTATTTGAGAGGTCATAAGCTGGAATACAATTGCATAAAAACGTAAGTTTTATAGACAAAATAAAGCACATTATGAACGCCATTTTAGAGGTAATGGCGGAGATGCATCCCTTTTAAAATATATTGCATCCATTTTTGCACTATATTCATATCGTAGACCACATTTAGGATGCTTTAAAACTGGACAGTACACCTCAACCTCAGTAAAAAAACTTCATGTTAATTCCTTGCCTGAAAAGACATTTCATATGCGATCGCTCAGTTCCATCATCACCGAATTTAATGGATCCTGTACCGTTGAAGTTTAAATGTTTGACTCTTAAGTTTATTTTCCCGATGTGGCAATTATATTGGAGAATTCTACTAGAACCGAGTTGGTTCTTAATTACGATCTCATTTCCCTGGCAAGCTTCATTAACCACAAAATAAATGGCACTAAATAACATGAAAAATATTACTAGATGACTCAAATTAAGCAAAGATGCAATTAAAAATCAGCTTCACAAAACAAGCAAATATCAAAATTTTGAAGAACCAAGTGATCACATGATGAATTATTTTGGTTTAAATTAAGCAAAGATGCAATTGAAGTTTTTGTCGGAAACATGGAGACTAACAAAAAAATAAAATAATATAAACAGTTGTAAATCAATAGGTAAAAGAGATTAGGAAAAAAAAAAACTATCTATGCAATGAAATTCCTAGAAATTAAGCCGTTATTTTTCAATAGAAATTCAAGCAAGCATTAAAGTCGAGTTTGATTTGTTCATGTCTTAAATTCCAATTTCGTTGGTTAAGGACATTTAGCTCACCTATGGTCTTTCTAGTAATACAACAACACTTTTGATGTACCGAAGAATTAAACCTAAGATAAAATATTGGTGATCAATATAGACTAAACAATAGGAATAACCATAGATGAATAACAAAAATAATCAATCCAAATGTAACAACCTAACAATCATTCAATTATGAAATCTCCCTTTTGAAATCCATGAACCCAATTGGAAAAGTACTCAACCATAGAAATAGAAGAAAACCAAAATAATGGAGAAGAAGACATGACAAATTTAAAACAGAATATCAAAGGGTTGAAAGAAGTCTCTAGAAAGAAAGAATTTCAAAAGTAACACCCTCGTCCAGAGCAACAATAGTTAGGGCTGGGCCAAATCCATATATTAGGGTCCGGATCCCTTTTTTTTTTTTAATTAAAAATATAATTATAATAAAAAATTTGAGGCAAAAAAAAACAAACTAAAATTAAAATATTACCATAATATAAATATCACCTCTTTCGTTTATACGATAGGTAAAACTCTTTTCGTTTTTTTCGCAATCTTCGGATTCTAGACACTTCAAGTAAATCATTGACATTGATAATTATCACCTCTATTAGGGCTGCTTTCGTGTGGGAGGAGCCGAACTTTGAGCTCTCGGAAGAAGATAAACGAGAACTCAAATAGCAAAGCTGGGAAGAGTTCTTGGATTGCACACGCCGAGCAATTACGAACGAAAGTAAGGTTTTGCTAACAACAAAATGTAGTGTATTTTGTTTGATAACCTTTTGCTGGTCTCTCTGGATATGCAGAACCAAAGATTAGGATAGAACATGAGGATAAGAAGATCAATGCAAGCATGCCACATCAACCAGAAGAAGAAGAGCAAGATTTAGACAAAATGTGATAAAGTGTGCAAAAGATACAACTAGACCCATAGATAAATATGTTTCATCAAAAAAATACTAAACTATCTACTATACATTTTTGCAACAGTTTTTGGGGTCCCTAATCGGGTCAAAAAAATTTTAATTTTGACCCGGAATTAATTGTTTACGACCCGGAAAAATCAATTTCGGATCTTACCTTAATTGAGCATTTGACCCGAAATCTCTCAATTGGAACCTTCCTTAATAGATACTCCCTACATTCAAGGTAAAAAGCATTTAGTTTCTCATATTTGAAAGATTTAAAGATACACATAATATATATAGTTATAACAATTTATAACAAATTGATCCTAAATACAAAATGTTTCCTATTAAAAGGTGAGATAAACGATTTCATCTAGAATCCGTATAACCACTTGATCCTAAATACAAAATGTTTCCTAGAATTATACAATTATCAAAAACGATTAAAGCATATTCTTTAAACATCCTATATTCAATTCTTATATTTCTCAAAGATATTTTGGCATTTATTTCGGATTTCTTATTATGTAAATGTTGGTTAATAATATCTAACAAATTAAATCTGGCTTGATCACAAAGCTATTGTCGAATTTGTATCAAACCTAAGGCCAAGAGACTATAACCTCTATAAATAGGTTTTGCTAACAGAGAATTATCAAATCAACAGAGATTTTACCTTTTAACACAATAATGGCTGCTTCATTTTCCAATCTCAGAGATGTGAGACATTTCAAAGCTGCATGTGCGTCCAAGTTTAAGTTCCTGCATTAATGGACAATATAATGTCAAAAAGGGAGACTCTTGATATGGTCTATACTGATGAACAAGTAAGTTTTCACGTACTGAATTTTGGTTCTAAACCTTTTACAAACTATGATAATTTGTTAAATCATGTTAAGTTGTTGATGGAATCTTGATGATCTGTGTTACCTTTTTTTGTTGTTTCTTCTCATTTTGCTTATCTTACTGATGTTTCAGATCTTCATTCACATCAGACTAGCAAATCCGTGTAAACATCTTGAGAATCTGGGAGCAAAAGGGAGTTCAGAATGAAGCAATCGATGCAACATATTCCTTGATGATAAGGTACTATAATTAGCTAGCATAAATCTTATTCATTTTTTTTATTTCTACATCTATATTTAACGAGTTCTGTTTTTATTTGTTTTAGATTCAATATTACTAATGGGGAAGGTTGTTCTCAAGTATGTTGGATCCACAAATTCCAGAATTTACAAGATAGGCAAAAGTAACCTTATTCTAACCAAGGTAAATAATTAGTGTTGGACGTTTGGTAACAAGAACATCATTTAGTTTACTTTAAAAAATAACAATACGTACTTAGAGCTATTGGATTGATTATTATCAAGCATTGGTCTATAAAACTATAACTATGAGATAGATGCATAACGGATCCGAGAGAAAGAGATTACCATTTCTTGCATGTGCTAATTATATTAGAGTTATTAAAGCAACTGGTCAGAGATTCTCAGAACCTAAAATTGAACAAAGACAATGGGGGTTAGAACAGGAGATTATGAAACATCTTATAAAGAAAAGTCCAACCAGAGAGACTTAGAACAAAAAAATTGAACGCAGTGATTGAGAAATCAGAAACCAAAGATTCAACTAAGCATGCGATCTCTTGCGATTAAAGACAAATTGAATGCAACAACGACGGGTAGTCTGAGAAAATGTATCCCGTTGTTGCAACGACCTCTCTTCCCGCATATGGGATGCTCTTCTCCGTAACAATCGCTTCCACTAAAATTGCTTCAAATCTGTCGATGCTTTAAATCGGGAGGCTGAACTGTCTGAAATCGAATAGCAAGCCTTCGCCAATCAAGTCCCCATCGAGCTTCTGAAATGCTTCAGACATGGTTCTCTGTGACCTCCCACAACCTCCATTATCGACTTTTCTTCTCTGTTCAATCGATTCTTCATCTCAGCCTCGTGGAATCCGTACATGATTACTCTCCTTCTTGGGCCATCTCTTCTTTCTAGCCAGTGTTGGGCTTTTTCTGATTCAAAATTGGTTTTCCTTCTAAGTGTGTTGGATTACTTAGCCATTGGACCATGTAAGACCATGTACATAGCAGATTTTTTTTGGGTATCATAAGCCCAAAAACATTATATTAATGGGTAAAACAACTGATTTGGGTCTGAGCCGTATCACTGGAGTGATACTCTTGATACCAGTCTCTGATGACGTGGCGGCTCGGGATTTGTCGGGAGA